ATGATAGAGGCTAAGAGTATACTACACGGGTTCAGGGAGATACTGGCAGATTCAGAGGTCTGAGCATCTGAGAATCTCAGTAGATTCTCGCTATAGTCGGCCTCTGTATCGTCGTCTACTTGCTTGTCGAGGTAGGGGCTCGATCTGCAACAATAAAAATTTATCTCTATTTTCGTTCGCCAGGATTCCCGATCTCCCGCCGAATCCGCTCGCCGTCGGAGCTCCACATGATTACTCAGAGGGGCATTCATGAGCATCTAAGCGTTGCGGATAAAGTGTCGGGTAAATTTCTTATCTTATATCCGAGCGGTCAAATTAGTTTCTCAAGATTTTCACCTCTGCATGATGAGTTTCTCCCAGACCTGACAGCGTTTCGTGTTTGGGTCTTTCCAAAGTGTCCAAATCGTCGGTTCCTGGAAGCGCAAGGGATGGCAACTCCGTGGTGCCACAAAGGTAGCTCCTAAAAGTGTCACAGGCAGAACTTCCATTAGCAGGACAGATATGCACAGTCGAACCTCGTCATGACGGACCCGGATATAGCGGACTCCCGTTTGAAACGGACTGATGTCACGACCCCGGGGCGCTATACCTCCCATGTTACTCTGCTCGGATATAACGGACAACCGGCTATTCGCGCGATCATAAGATACGCTCGTATAAGTCAGAGCGATACCATTCGATACTTATTTTCCCAGGATAGATATGTGGTACATTTTCGAGGGAGAGTCCTCTATCGAGAGGCATCTTCAACTAGCCTTCCCTGGGAACCAGGATACACCATGCTCCGGATCGACAACTTGTCGATAACAATGACCGTCAGACTTCTCGCAGCCCGCCAAGAGCTCGATGAAGTCTCAGATTCCGAGCCTCATTCCCGATTCGGCTCTAGGAATGGGCACAGGCTTCCAGAGTGGCGTCGTATTGTTCCATAGACCTCGTGGGAGATCGACTGTCATTCGATATCTCGATCATCCACCGTCGGTGATCGAAGGCATCAATTCCGGGGTGGTGCCTTTTGATGTGTTCCTCTGTACAATGAATCTCCGCGAAATCGCTCAACAGCAAATAAAGAATCAGCTTATCGGTGCTCTCCACGCAAAGCACTGAAGCTACGGATTCGGCAGATCTTTGTGTTAGTCCGAGGAGAATCCTTCGGACTACGACGGAAGTCGTCGGGAAACATCCGGGCACCGAGAATCTTCAGTCCTCTCTTCGACTCATCGGCTACTGGGCAACACGCAGAATAATCGCAGCTCCTTTTGCGGAAAAAGTCCAGATTCTTTTGATTGCAAGCTCCTTCTAGAATTGAATGCGACAATGGCGGGGTAGCCGGGAAGGACACCGTCCATATTTCCTCCGCCCCCATACCTCGATCTCTCTATGGAGCTCAGAGCGAGCACCTTTTGATCCCTCCGGCGTCGAGTATGGAATCTGGCTCGCGGAACTTATTTCTCTAACAATGTCAGGGACAGCCGCCAGGCGATTTTCGGTGTATCGACAATAATTTATCGCCGGAAGCTGGAATCCGCACGAAATCGAATTCAAACTTTGGCTGTGCGCGGGCCCAGCGGTGTAAGATTTCACTATTTTCGAGATGAGAAGCGGACGAGTCGACGACGATGTGTTTTGGTGCCCCGCAGTCGAATCGTCCAGCCTGGGTTGGTTCGATCGGAAATCCTGTGGTTTTTCAGTCTCCACGCTCGTTACATATTCCAATGGGAAATGAAGGTGAGTACTCCGCACTTCTCGTAGTTCTCGGACTTAGCTCTTATGGGGAGCTCTTCGCCGCAATGGAGCCCAAACGGAGGAAAAAATTGGAGAAGTTCCCGGCAGAGAGCGGCGTGATAATTCTATGTCTGGATTTTTCCAGATGATAAGAAGTTCACGGTGTGGCGTTTCACCGATAAACCTTTGAGACTATCTTGGGTTGATCATCTCGAGGAGCTCTACACGGGTTCGCCCGATGGTGTCCTGGATTTTTGTGGCCAGTTGGGGCCTCCCTCGAAGCTCAAGAGCGAAACCTCGTTGCACAGGGACTTCTGTGTGTTCCGGTACGATGCGGTCCCCATGTGGGAGGACGCTCATATTAGTAACATGAAGCTTAGGTTGACATTGCAAGGCGACGCTGAAATCGACGCTGTTTGGTGGCGAAGTCTAATGCTGCTCTTATCAGCGAAAAGCGATCTAGCGATGGTATCCGGACTGTGCCTCCAAATTCGCAAAAAATTTACAGTATCCTTCTGGTTGTACGGAGAACATGTAATGAAGGCCGCAGAGAAGCCCGAGAAGCAAATAATCCTCGATATTGCGCAGTGTTGGAAAATGGCGCTCGGCATAAGTGACGGAGCGATAGAAGTCTCGAGAAGAAGTCCTCGAGGATACAGGAAGGCATTCACCGCTCTAGTATGGCGCAGCGTCTAGTTAAGCTGATCAGCCAAAGTTTTTCGATATACAGCTATAAATTAGCGAATGGAAGAGTTCTAGGTGGTCGAGTCATAATTCATTTAAGTTTTGGGAAATAGGACCGCTGGGCCGCGAGCCATCAGATCCCTGAATACAGACGTCGAGGAGGTTTCCGCCTTGTACTCGATCTCTTTGACACTCGTACGCTCGGCAGAGGTTCCCATGGGCGCCCCCTCTTTGGATTTTAGGATTTCCGGTTTTTCACCCGCCGTTAACCCACAACCTCATCCCCCTGATCGCTATGAGCTTCTTCGAAGACGTGAAGAACCATCTCGTTGTTCTGCCCCGGCTCGACGAGACGTAAGTGCATTCAATATCGACTGAATTATGCCATCACAACGGTGAGAACTCTCTATTCCAAATCCATGGATATAAAAAGTTTCGAAGCTCGGTGAGGGCGGAGACTCTCGTATCCTTCCGCAAGGACGAGCGGACTCCTTCCAGAGAGGAAGTCGGACAACTTCCTCGGATCCAAATCCAGATGAACACTCCTAGGACATGGGTGTCTCCAAGCCACAAACGAATAGTGTCAGCGAGAGCGGAGGCTCGCATCGGAACCGAGAGCACCGACTACCAGATCGCGCGAGATATAAGCTAATATGTATCCAGGATGCGGGAATGTATGTTAATTTCTTTCCCCCATTTGTATACAGCTCGTGTGATGACTTATTGCATGTTGTGTCGCCTTCATTCGGAGAAGGTGCGAATTCCTATCTACCTGTTGGGGCCACAGGGACTGTTCGTGAGCACTCGAGCACCTCAGACACGAGGTGAAGTCCGTCCTCCCGAAATGGTGTATCCGAGTCACAAAGCCCAGGGCGAAATGGAGTTTTTGACGGCGTCTCATGAAAAGGTAACGATGGCTTGAGTAAGGAAACACTCGGCATCTGACAACTGAGACTAGGTTTTCGGCCTTCCCTTGGTTCCGCGAGGAACGGACAAGAAATATCTTAGTCACACGCTCAGCTAAGTCTGTCAAAGACATGGCCCGATACAGACTGAGGTTGTATCCCCGGTTGACCAAATCAGCCGCGCTCGAGTCCAAGGGAAGCTGGACTCCATCAGGGACAAAAATTCGTCTCGAACGATCGAGAACTAGAATTAAGAGTACGGAGAGAAAATTTCGCAATCAATCTGAGTGAGCAAAATATCCAGGCGTTCCCGTCATCCGGGGCAAGAACCGCTCGAGTAATGCGACCAGGCTCTTTGAATGGAGATTCTGATGGATTCCCGCATTTTTTGCTCGGCAGCTTTCCGACTGACATGGATGACAGCATTTTTCGTCAACTCGTGTCTGTTCTCTCGAGCTCCAAGCAATCGTCAGACGAATCGTGAGACGCAGAGGGACACAATAAAGCGTCGAGATCGGGAGGCTTCGATCACTCCCCGACCATTGCTAAGGAATCTCTACGCGAAGCCGGTTCATCTGGGAAAGTTTCAAATTATCTCCCAAATCGAAGAAACAAGCTTGAAGCTTGCTCTGAAAGAATTCGGGAGAAAAAGCGACCTAGAGAGCTCTCTGAAGCAAGCGACGATGATTTCGTCCCCCTCCACCTGACGTTGAGTAGAGAATCGAGAAGAGCCAACCAACAACTAAGCTGGAGACAGTCGCTCTCATCCGGGAGATGAGAGCTTGGGAATCGTCAGCCTTCCCCTTCACTTACAGCGAGAGATTCAAGCTTCTTGAAGTCAGAAGATTCATGTCCGTCGGAGTGCGGATCCTCGCCATGAGTTCGAATCCGACCAGGAACTCCTCTCTTGGCCCTCATTGAGAGTGCCTAGATAGATGATCAAGTCATTATTCCGCTTCCCATCCAATACGGCGGATGTCGAATGTGCTCCTTTCCTTACCCTTGAGCCCCTACGTGGAGCGGACGGGTGGAAGAGAGTCAAGACCTGCGTGTTGTGCCAGCGACCATTCACGTAGGATCATCACGAGCCCCCCGGTTTGTGACGCTTCCCACGTATCTTATGCCATAGTAGAATAATAATCCCCGAAAGGGGGAATGATTCTTCTGCACACAGCGTCGTTTGAGTCTGTCTGTTACGGAAACGACGACAAGCGCGGGAGAAAATGTTTCAGGAAACCGGGCGGGGAAATCCTTCCGGAGATACCCGCTGAGACTCCTCGAGGGCTTTCGCAGCCGGTGTGTGTGCTTTTTAGGATCGCCACCGTAAATGAGCGAAGATCCCTCGGCTCATTCTATACTTGATATAATTAATCGACAACGTTGGTGAGGCGGCATTTTGTCTCGCCCTGTTCCGACCCACGGTTTCTCTGCGAAGACCAGAAACGCGTAACTCCTCGATTCCAAAACTGGGGAGTCTCCTGGGTGGGGAAGACAATCCCGCTCTCAGTGTATGCGATTGGGGAACGCAGCTCTTGCCTCTGATTCATATCAACCCTCAACTGATATGAGGCTGCAGACAGAACAGCTTACTCAGTCTATGTATGCATACGATGTACGTATTACGAGAAGCTCCGACCCGAGTCGTCGAGAAAGTTTCCCTCAGGATTCATTCCATAGTCTCCGTCAGAAGGATATAGACCTCACCTTCGATTCGATCCTGTAGAACAGGTAGAGTTCCCCGAGAGCCCAACTTATTCCTATCTCATATACGACAAGTTCCCTCGCGGTGACAAAGCCGTCCCGGCCAAACCTGGCAACTCGACAGGCTCATTCAAAACTACAGCGATCCGTAGTCAGTGAAACCATCGTTCCCATCATGACAACTCCGTGCTCTATCTGATTATGACAGCAATTATATCATGAGATCATGCAGTGCCGAATCATCTTTCCGGAAGTCGAGCGGGGCATCAGGATTTCCTGGATATAAGTGATATACAAGAGAAACCTAATTCACACTTTAATCTGAGAACATTGACTAGTGTACAGGCATATGTACATCCGACGGTTATTTACAGACACGAGGGTCAGAGGAATGTACATGAGATAAGGTAGCTCGACTAACGATTCAGAATTTCGGGAAGATTGTTCGTGAAACTATGATAGAGGCTAAGAGTATACTACACGGGTTCAGAGAGATACTGGCAGATTCAGAGGTCTGAGCATCTGAGAATCTCAGTAGATTCTCGCTATAGTCGGCCTCTGTATCGTCGTCTACTTGCTTGTCGAGGTAGGGGCTCGATCTGCAACAATAAAAATTTATCTCTATTTTCGTTCGCCAGGATTCCCGATCTCCCGCCGAATCCGCTCGCCGTCGGAGCTCCGCATGATTACTCAGAGGGGCATTCATGAGCATCTAAGCGTTGCGGATAAAGTGTCGGGTAAATTTCTTATCTTATATCCGAGCGGTCAAATTAGTTCCTCAAGATTTTCACCTCTGCATGATGAGTTTCTCCCAGACCTGACAGCGTTTCGTGTTTGGATCGTTCCGGCGAACCTGGAAGTCTTCCTTGATGTCTATGTACATGTTCCGCGACGCCGTGAAACGCGGCCACGCTCGTCTGTCTGGTAGCGTGGGGAGACTGAAACAGAGAATTCCCCTATCGAGAAGACTCCTCTAGGAGCATTCCGTCCCTAGCCCGAAGTAAACCTTGAATTAGCTGATCTCCATATTGCCCCGAGCGATCCGCATAGGTTCTGCCCACGCGGCGAGATCAGGCTGAGAGAATGAAATCACTGAATGCCAAACAAACTCAGATCGAACGCTACTCACCCGTTCCTAACGAAACTAGACCAGGTATTCTGGATGTTCTCGAAGAGATCTTGCTCCTCGGTAGAATGATTGAGCTTCGAGACGTATTCATCCGCCCGAGCCACAATGTCCTCTCTCAGAAGCTCCTGGATCACTGGCAGATTGCCCATGGTGAATAGCAATTCATCGCCGTGCAAGACACCAGGGATTTCCTGCAGCGGTGCATTTCGAGCTTGATATCGTGTCGGAATCCAATGAGTCGGAGTCTGGCCGATTCAACGATCACGAGGAAATCACTCACCTCATAGAGGGTGAAGCTCGGTCGATGACGGAATAGATACCGGAAAACTGCGACATTCTTGGATGCGGCGACCTTCGGGACGGAAAATCCCATAGAACATAAGCTCGTGCATACCTGCGGATCACGGTGTGTCTATTCGGCAAGACACGCGAATTCTATTAACTCACCTGGGAGAAAAAGTGGGCGGGACACAGAAAGAAGAGATCCGTCGCAGCTTGTGAAGCCAGGTCGATCACTTCGGATTCGCTCAGCTCCTCGTGAACCGGGAAATATTCGGAAACGATGCTTCTCGCCTCAGATATCGATATTTCGAAAATGTTCCTCAGAAGTCCGGCAAAGGGTGCCATGCCACCGATTTCGGCGAAAATGGCTCTGCAATCGGATGGAATCATTGGAGCTCTGAACTTCCGCGCGAGGAAATGTATTCATTCGTCCCCGCCTAGCGGAATGGGTGGCGATTGAGCACCGATAGATAGACAGAAAATTGATCGCCTCTCTCCCCGGAGGTCTTGAAACATCGAAGACCTACTTCAGACTCCGGTTTGAATCCACGATGCGTCTCGCGAAGTGTCTGGCTTCGTGTTCGTTTGTTCCGATGATGATCTCGTCCACGTTGAACGTGGCGTTCTCTAGGAACTGAGGCGACAGAGACACGTAATCGGATTCATACGGTGGGAGAATGAGACCTTCCAGACCTGCGGTCGGAAAATGAATATTCCATGACAACCCGAGTGCGAGACTCTCTCCGAAGAGAGATCTCCTCTCCGAGGGACGAGGTCTCCTCTCAGATTAGGAACGGCTAAATTCATGGGGAACCAAAAAAAATCTCGTGAGCTGACCGAGAGCTTCAATGCCGGCGACGAGTTCAGAGGCTTCGAAAGTTCGCAAGCAATCCACCAACTCCGAGGGATTTCCTTCGCAGCCCAATTGTTCCGCGATCTTGCGTAATGTGTCTCGCGGGATCCGACTGAGTGTCCCGATGGATAAAGTTGTTCCACTCTGGAGGATTGCGCGTCGGAAGAGACCTAGGTCGATGTTCAAAAAGATGCATTTCCATGAGCTCGTGATCATCAGATCTATCTTCCATGACAGTGAGCTCTATGATGGCGTTTGTAGAATCATTCCATAGATCCACCTTTAGCATGGGGAGAGATTGCATGAACCGCGGCGGATATCGCTCCAGCGCTGTGACCGCACACCGTTATCTGATCTGGATCTCCTTGAATGAGAGACGGGAGATTTTATAGATTCCGATCCGGAAACTGGGCGAAGTTTATCCGGTTAGTGTCCAGCAGACCAACCTCCGAAAGATTGGATGTTGTCCTTCACCCATCTCAGCGCCGTATTCTGGTCCCAGAAGCCGATAGATCCGGAAATAGCCGGAAGATCTGGATGACCGAGGAATCCGAAGGGACCCACCCTATAATTGAAGGATACGAAAATGTGGTGGTTCAAAGCCGAGTTCGCTGCTCCGTCATAGAGGAAGACGTCGGCGCTGCCCCATTGGAAGGCTCCTCCGTAGATGAAAACAAGAACCGGTTTGGGAGCGGATCCCTCGGAGAGCTAGAGAGGGGCGGAGCAGAGATTCATTAATTCGCGAGACCCTCCGGACTCGGAATTTCGCATGGACTTTCGAGAGGAATCTCACCTTCGGCCGCCAGATGTTCAGGGTCAAACAGTCTTCGGATGTGTGGTTCTCATAGAGCAGTTGAATATGCGGCGAGAGAAACTGATTCGCTTGAGGACAGCCGAATCTTTTCCGGGTTGCCTGAAAGACAACGCGTCAATCATAATAGAACCGGACCAGAGGCTGTAGCTTCGACTCATAGGCATCAGCTGATGCTCATAGGTATTCAGACTGGTGATGATAATTTATAAATCCCCCCTGTGCACTTGTGGGACCCTGGGAACACTTGATCCCACTGAGCTCTCCATGTGGATCTTATCCATTAGGGAGGGTCAAAGAGGGTTGATACGTTCGAGAGCTGAACTTTGAATTGAAAATCGAGCCGACTGCAATCGGGACCGTGCACAATGAGCGGAAACATACATCCGGCAGCGGATGCAAAAATACTCCAACGGTGACGCGATCGTGATGGGAATTCCCGAGCCCGCTTCAGAATCTCCTGTCTGGAGAATCTGGATCTCTGGGACTATTGCTCATTTGACGATGCAGGCTCGATGAGCGTTGTAGGCAACACTTGAGGACATTCACTCTTTCCCTCGTCGTTCATACTCGATGTGAAATACGGAGTGCTACGACTTGGTCTTCTTCGCAAGTTCAAAATCGCTCCCTCCATGGCACGTGGCACAAGCGACCGAAAGTAGTTTCCACTCCGGAGAGCAGGGACCGATAACAAACCTCAAGTATTCCGTTCCATGCTTTTACGGGAACCGGTTTCGCGAAACGGAGCTCATTCACCGGGGGCTGTGCGTACGGAATTCCAAGGAAGGCCTCGATTTCGGTAGCCAATACTTCGTGAGGAGCGCCTCGAATGAATCCGGTGAGGGATTCGACGATCGGACCTGGAGGGGATCTGCAGATTGAGAGATGAAATGATGCCTAGTGCCATTATCCGGAACTCCTCGATAAGTGATCGAACGGGCGTCTTCGGCTCTCCCTATCCGTCAGCCTTGAGGGTGGCGCTCCTTTCAGCTCACCTGTTGGATGCGGCCCGTTCTTGGACGCTCCTTCACACCGATAGCGCTCCGAGGCCATCATCGTCAGAACAATTAGAAATTTATCGAGAGCCAGTTGCATCTGGAAGGTAAGAGACGTGAGCAGGATAAGCAGAGAGTTCTGCGCGGGCCGGTAGCTGATTCTCGCCGTCAATGGGGGGCAGACATGTCTGTTGAATTCTGCCCGTCGACAGCGATTGCAAAACAATCAGCAAAGGTCGTTGTTAGTGCAAATTGTCTTCGGTCAGAAAAGGAGGACGACTGTGAAAATACGCATACATCGAATCGCGCGACAGCTCTCACTCCTCTCCACTTGACGGGAGTCAATCGATATGCAATGCTCCTTATCAATCCAAGTCGTGAATATCTGTGTGTTTTCTGTTACACTGAGCTGCCCTAGCGCTCCGTGAAACTTCTTGTTTCGGCCGCTATCGATACGGCAATCGTCATCGTTCTTATCAACCGTTATCATCGGCTGAACGCTTTCGTGAGTCGCAGTCATGCTGTATATGTACTCCACGTTGAAGGAACGATTACTGAAGCTGGAATTGCGATGAGGGCTACATATTTGATATCGTGCTTCATTTCTTTTCTGGATAAAGTCTCTGCTCCGCGGGCTATACTTTTCCGGTCTATTTCTCGCATCACGTCGACGATGGTCTCAACTCGAGGTGAGCGGAAGCTGAAGCGACCCTACTGCCGATAATCGGGTAATTTTGTTCCGCTATGCTCTTTGTAGATTGATTGATAATAAGCTAAAGGAGAGATACCGCGCGGAGACAGAGCCATAATCCATGTCGGTCGACGGGAGAATTCGTTTAGGGCCGAGTTCTGTCCCGGTAGGAACGCTGCTCCTCCATTCACGAGATCGAGCAGTTGATTCCCTCGATCGCGGAAAACGATGACAATTAGAAATTCAAAATTGCTGCAGCGAGGTCCCATTGACCTTGTGTGACTTTTTTCCCCGCCGAAAATGTCCGAAGACTCGCCTTGATCGACTCTCAGAATCCGGTGGCCGCATTTGAGCGAATCGGGCGCTTCGAGGCATACATACAAACACCGGAAGGTTCCGATTACCTAGTTGTGGTGATCGGCACACAAGGATCAAAACAGAACGATCAGAAATCGCGGGAGGCAGCTCTCGAAACTTCTACCAACCTTTGCCGGCGCCGCGCGGACGTGTGATGGAAAGAGCACGCTGTCAAACGGAGGACTCTCGATTAACGGGGGACGCCGGAGCACCCGCTCGATGTGGAATGAGCAAACTCCGATGAATCGAGGCGGTGGTCGGATGAAGTCTGGAAAGAGCGGCAGAATTTCTTCGGATTCGAGAGGGAAAGAAAGATCAACCCATTTAGGCCAGAAGAGGAGGAAGAACTCATCCATCGTACAATGAATCACACGCGATGGGGGCACGATGTCGACAAGAAAGATTGACAGAACTCTTGGCCGTGTTCTCGACGGGAGAAGCGAGTTGGCACGGAGTCCATGCCGATTTATACGCGACACGCAAAACTGATGTAGGTAATTGTGGGGCTCAGCACTGATGTCGAAGTTCAGTACGTGTGGTCATTTCCTACGCTCCTCGTCGAGCGATGAACGATAAGCGAGATTTTATTGGTCGGTGCCCTGGAATGCCCACCTAGACGAGCGGGAGGATCATAAGTCAGAAATTTCTTCCCAGCTCAAGCACTTGAGCAGAAAACGCATCTCGAGACCGATATCCCTCGAGTAGTTCCTTCGTCTGGAACAATTCCGGAGACAAGAACTGAGGGAAACGCGGGCATAAATGATCGCTCCAAAGGTGCAGCGGTCAACCACTCACGTTTAGCTCGGTATAATTAAATTCCGGATTAAATTCGGCGCCTCGACACAATCCGATTACAGCTCCGCATGCAACTTCAAGTACTTGGAAGCAGGACGTGTGAAAGATGGAATACCAGATCGCTCGAAATGGGAGGAGAGACATTTATCTCCCCCTCACAGAAGGATCATCAGAAGATTCCGGAGATGCAAGATTAATGCTCGCTAATAAGAAGGGGTCGGTATGGCAGAACGCGAAGAAGTGATCATCTGCTGCCGAAGTGTACGTATCCGACGCTGAGCTCTCGACGCACTGCTGAGCGCAGGGAACGGTGTATTTTTTTCTGACAATGCGTGTTGTTGATGTACCTTCCCCGGTGCGAGGAAACTTCGCTGACTCACATTGACGCGGAACGAACAAAGATCAATTTCGAAGCTGGCTCCTCGGGTGATCTTACGATTGCGTTGCACGGAGAATGCTTCCGGAGTCAGGGACAGCTGGTGCCATTTCGCAATGGGCGACTACAGAATTTAACACGATGAAATCTGATTAGTTGGCGTTGCCCGAATCAACTCAAAAAAAGCTCGCTTCGCGTACTCGCAAGATTCCCGATGGCAGAGCATCGAGAAAGAAACATGAATGCGGCGATAAATATTTAGCAAAATTCACGGGCGATTTTTTTGGAGGGAAAGTCAGTGTTGACCCAGCGGGCCATTGCGCAAATCCATGTCGGAGACAGAATAAATAGCAAGAACAATCTCATTTAAGTTCATTCGACAGCCGTCCGACTCCGTTCCAGCGTCGAAAAAGGTCGAGGTCAAAACACACATTTGTCTGAGCAGAGACAGAAATTTTTTTGATCCGATTGGCAGGATGTGACTGTCACCAACGGCTGTCGATCAGAGAATGACGCTCCTTTTCACCCAAGGAACGTGGTTTGTGAGAAGAACATGGGCGCACGATAAGGAATTGAGGAACCGCTGCTTTCATTATCTTTATTGCTCATGAGTTTCGTCTGCGAATGCTTTATGTACATGTATAAAACAATTTACAGGGGAATCGAACAATTTCGGAAACCATTCCAGTCAGAGCTGGACGTCCTTTCTGTCTCTTCCTGACCGCTCGGCAGACTCGGGAAAGTTCGGAACTGTTCGAGTGGGCGGCGAGAGCTCGAGTTGAATCGACAAGCTTCCCACTCGACGAATGTTACCTCGACGAAATCTCTTCTACGTTTTCATAGAGGGGATTTGCCAGTCAGCAAACTGCGGTTGAGTAGGTCAGTGGCTTTGCGGAGCGCATTCAGAGCCACACTTAGGTGCTCGCGGACCGAATGCAACGCCGATGATCTGGGATTCCGCCGCAATTCTCGAATCGCCTCCGCGAGATGGGGAAATAGCAGACTTCGGTCCGAGTTCTCTTTGTCGATCCCGTAGAGGATATGCCTGGGGGAGGTGAGGGATCACGGTGAGAGGAGGATTCAGAACCCGAGACTCTACTGAGCTTAGGTGCAAAATCACGTGTCTCAACCATTCGGCCCGCCTTTCATGATTCTACCCTAGAGTGGAGTTCCGTTTTCAAGGAGCCAAGATCTGGGGATCCCAGTCGTGCCTGGAATCCCCGGCGAGACTTTATGGAAGTCACATCCCCCTTATTGGATCTCCCATTCGATATATCTTCCCGAAGCGCCTTCCGCGGGAAGGGTATCGTATCTAGCTCAGTCAGTCAAGCTTGTTCTGCAAGCGAGCACTAGCTCGGCCTCACCTCGAGTATGGCTGAGCCGGAGCGAAGCCTTCCGGAAGGAGGAAACTTTTCTCAATTCTCAATAGATTATCATTCTCGTCTCGAACTCTGAAGATCCCACAGACTGAAACGAGACATCACCAGTCAGTAAGTGTACCACAATATTTCCGCAAGATGAATAACCCGAGACCTCTTCTCTGGTCGACTCGATCGATTGTCGGATACCGTCGTCGACGATTGTAATCGATCAATATGAAATCCGGATGCGGCACGAAATGTCCGGCACGATCATCTCCCCTGCTGTCGCTCTTCGTCGCACATTCAAGTGTCTCGGCAAAGGGGGACTTACGGCTCGACGATGCGTTGTTTGCCGTGGACGGTGCGTTTTGTGCTGAGCTCTCTTGGAAAGCTAGCGATGCCACTCGGAAAGCCTTCACCGATTTCGTCAGCGGCTCCATCTGAACGCCGTGCGCTCGGAAGATCTCTCTGTGCTCGCGTTGGAACACGGCGAAATCAGCGGAAATCTGATTCGCATAGTCAACCACCTGGAACGACGTCATGTCGCTTTGCAGACAGAGTCCAACGCCTACGTCGGGGAGCTGACAGCCAGCGTGACAATGCGTGCCTCTTTCTACGTGAAACCATCGAGATCGGTTCGCCTCTCGGAACTCCGCCAACCCACCTTGAATGGCAGTGCGAAACTATCCGCAAGTTCCAGAGCGGTCCCCAAAACCAATTGGGTCAGGGCGTACATCGCATGTTGACCGACGTCGATGTGGTTCGCCATCAAATCGTACGTGTCATAAGCGGTGTCGAGTACGGGATAATCGCAGAAAGAGCCGCGATTCACGAACTGGATCTGGGCCACGGGAATGCCGAGCATTTGGAAGAATGGCACAGCGTCCGATTCTCCCGTCGGGGGGAGCATTTCGGGAACGGATCCGCGACCAGTCAAGAGTAGGGCAGGCCTCGCGCTCAGCCATGAAGCGTAGAGATTCTCGAAAACTTGTTGACTGTCTCCGGGACGCGACTCGATGGCCGGGATCTGTTTCGCAGCCCTCTCCAGAGCCTGCCGCAGCAGAGGACTTCCTGAAACCTGCAGGCTCCGCGTTCCTGCAAGATGCGGGAGATGTCTGCACGTTCTGTAGGAGGCGGTGGATTCTCTCCGCCGTTCCCGTTTGATGAGTTTGGGCTCACTGACCTGTGACTGCTTTATCAAGCGAGAGGTAGGCGATAGCGTGGCTCAGTTGCGCAGAGTACTGTTCCAAAAACTCGGTACTTCCAACCGATCCGAAGTGACTCGCGTCCCAGGCAACGAAGAGCAGCGTTCTCCTCGGTCGCCAAGACGTTTTGTGATAAAGGTCCGAGAACGCCCGCACGACCTGCAGGAGGTTTCCGACCATGTCAGAAGTGGGGAATGAAAACCTTTTCTCTCGAGACGGGCACCGAGTACTTGAGCTTCTTGCGGTGAAAGGATATCTCGTTGACGTTCTTCCGAAGCATGATTTCGTGCCGCACGAGTCGCGAGAACCACGTCGTGAGTCGTCTCTCGTTAGCGGACCGCTAATGACGGTACATGGCAATGGAAGGGGGTCTCTCGCATGGGCGGAACGCGAGTTTTCGCATCAAGGCTCCCACAGAGATCATCACATATGTTCTCCCGCTTCTGATGTGGTGGATGAAATGCGAGATAGTGGCTGCGCAATGATTCCGTCTCGGGCGAAATCGCGGGCACGCAATCACAGCTGATCACTTTCTGCCTTAGATCGAATGATAAAAATAATTGTTCTCTCACCTCCATAAGGACAGCCATTCCCGATGCAGGGTCAGCAGCTCCTCGAGCCCAAGAATCGTGGTGGCTCCCGATTATGACATATTGATCTGGAGAATCATACCGGATGATTTCGTTTCAGTCGATTTGAGACCTCCGAACGGGCTCATCTCCTCCATTGACCTACAGGTCCGGACTCTCACCTGGTTCAAGCGAGCCGGGTATGCTACCAAGCACGTTATAGATATCCATCTCTCTGAACAGGTTGAATGACGAAAGCTGAACTTCACTGTAAAAATGAAGAGCATCTTCAAACATCGAGCTCGGATAAAACCCTCGCGTAGATCAGTAACACGATTGCCTCCTCTGCAGCGAAGACGACGGCTTGATTGAATCGTCCCATAAGTGCACCAACTCACACTTCCGCCGCGTCTCTGTATCCAGGTCCAGTCGAGTAGGAGACGTTGAGCTTGCCAACCCATTCCATCGGGGCATTAGAACCACCCAAGTCCCTTGAATGAGAGAGTCCACATAAGCTCAGAAATTCTCAGTGTTCACAAGATTCAGTCGGAGCTAGCGACAGATAAAAATATCCAGAGGGAATCGGAATGAGTCTGCCAAGCTTCGGAGAATAAGGTGAAAGTTGTTGTACGCGGTAGAACGGGGTCCTGTGACTCAAAGACTCACTTCAGGAGATGCTGCGCGTCAATAGCACTGATAAGCTGGACGGGGATTCCCGGCAAGCGGATGTCACTTCGACTCTGCCGATTCACATCCTCCACCGCCGGCAAATATGGAGTGGCCGGATCCCCGGGATAGGATTTCAATGTGGCCCGCGGTATGGCATCGAGAGGCATAGATGGACCGGCGAAATCGCTTTCAAACGACTCTGCGTCCAGGGGATCCCGGTACAAAACCACTCCTGGGAGAAGAGAGAATCTCGAGTGCTCAGAATTGCCGAGGCTTTGACTCACTCAGTCGGATCCAAGTTTCGCTCGAACTTTCGGTTTGCACAGTGAGAGAATCAAAGTTTATCCGAATCCAGATTACCATTCACGATAAAGATTCTTCCTGCCAGCCTCCACATGCAAATCACAGAATCGTATTTATTTTGAAGGGTGAAGGTCAGAGCTTTTCATGGTCGGTAGGGACGTGACCCGACTCGGGTGAAGTCTCACCTTTAATTCCGTTCTTCTTCGCTTGTTGGATTTTCCTCAGAATTTGAGCTTTCCCCAAGCGCGTTATGGCTATGGTCCCGTTCAGAGTGACACCGCGAGTTCTGAGCGTGTCAAAATCTTCTTCTCGGCCGAAATTGACGTACACGGGTTTACCTCGAACTTTTCCGGGTGAGGAATAAGCCAAATACGGATGAGTTTCTGGGGGATTCACGGAAACGACAGAGCGCCTCAGAGCTTGTTAGATCCCAGAATAAAATTCCCTCGAGAAGTGATCCATCCAATCTCTTTTTCATTCTTTGCACCTTCCCCCACCTTGACATTGAATTTTCCGCTGATACGCAAGAGCCTAATACCGCATGCATATTCATAGTGGCTCGTTCGCTACGGAAAGCTAAAAGCATAGCGAAGCAGGGAAAACTTTTTGAAGCATACGCGCTTGTTTTTGGCCGCGTGATCGTCTGACTGCGTGCGCGTTCCGTCATGTCCCTGCGCGAGCGTGTGTCTCCGAGTGGAATGGAGATCTTTTTATATGAAAAGCCTCTGACTGAGTGAGTGAGAGTGATTCGAGGAAACAATAGTAGGGAAATTCTCAGGGAAGACGCTTTGGGTAGCATTCGCTTGACTCCATCGGAGTATTCCCATGGAAATGAATTCCTCTCGCTCTTGAGACTGGAACCACCGGATCAATCATGGCCGAGTGCGAATGTGGATGTTTTCCGGACCTCGTTCGAGGACACTAATCGAAGCTCACCGAACGCTGTTTCGTTGGGACTCATGTTCATCTGGTAAAGGATTTTAGATCCCTGTAGAAGACGAACTTCGTTGGCGCGTTCGGTGTCCGGGTAGGAGAGGAGCGGTCGGTACTTCTCGACTCTCGCATGAGGTAAGCTTGCCCATCTGTCGCGGATCTTCAAGGCCAATTCCCGTCCTTTGTGGGAACCTCCAACATGAGAATCTCGCGTAAGTGACCTGAAGTTTTCGCACAGTGAGTTTTTGGCATTTGTCTGGTCTGGTGCATCGATGTGCTCCGAAACGAGCCCATTTCTAGAAATATTCATCAGTGATTTCGTAGGATTCGTGCGATCTGAGCAGGATCAGTGAAGAGAAAATCGACATTCATCCTCCGCGATGTCGCGAATAGAGCGGATGTAGCGCACCATCGTACGAGACGAAGGAAACATGAGGAGCTCTGCTTACGAACTAGTTAGCTACAGCCATCTGGTCATTGTCATTCCCGGGCCAGGATTGGCAATAAACCCGTCCCGTTCTATCGGGAAGTCCGGCCTGCGGGGAAGAGTCTACTACGGAATCGGAAATGGGAATTCTCACCATAACCAGCGGTTCAGGTTTTCCCGTCTGACCGATGAGATAAGGGTTGCGAAAGTTTGGACAAACTTATCCGTTCCATGGAAGGGCTCGCAATGAGCTCTCGATGTTCCCCTTGTCGAGACGAAGTTTATGTGGAGCTGGAGCAGGTGGCGAGCTGAGAATCCAACAAGGAGCCCGACACAGAGCCCAGAAGTGATTAACCAAATGAGCTGAAAATACAGAGATTGTTCGCTTCAGTTTCTCGTTGTAGCTCGATATTTTTCGTGCGCATTCGAAGAAACTCTTCGGAGTAAATTCGAGTGGCCGCCCTCCCCTGGGACCCCGCTTTGTTGCCGCTGTCATCTCCTCGCTGTGAATTTTCGAGACGGAAGTCAGAAGCTCTCGGGTCAGGAGCCAAAATTCAGTAGTCGGTTGCCTGAGGGATCTACTCCGCAATTGGCCCGGGTAGGGTCCAGCCATGGGAATCGCGAAACGAGAATGTTTGTGGATCCGGTCGCCGAGGAAAGCACGTGAAACACGGACGCTCAGAATTAGCTACCTGCCGGACGCGGCAAGCTCTATTATCTGTGTGCGAATCTTCTCTGGACCTCCACGTTGCTCGGACCTCCCAACCGTTCGTCAGTCAGTCAAACCGCTCCTAATTGCTCTCAAGGTGTATTTCACGAGGTTTCTTCCACGGCCGCGGGCGCAACGAAGAAAAGGTTTCTCTAAATGGGTCTCGCTCGGAAATAAAGGCAGCCCGCCACGTCGGTCGCCGTGGATACCGATAGACTGGGTCCTGAATTTGCGCGCCCCGACATCAAGGGGTTTAATCATACCACATTCTCCTCATTCAGGTCAGGGCGCATTGTTGGGAGGAATGCTAGCACGGTAGGTGGGTGGTCCTTCCCTTCGAGAGACTTTGTTTCACATCAGGAATCTCACCGGAAACATTGTTCATTCAAGAGCGCTCCATGACAAAGACTCCAACCGGGTATTGTTCAGAGAGCTCAGCATCGAGAGCCCTTCTCCGAGCTGATGAGTTGAAACATTTTTTTGCAAGATCGCATCGCACTAATTCTAGGTATACATTGTATTTTTCGAGATCGAGAAGGAGAATTACCGGGCTCGGATCGGTCCCGAAACGCGATCCGAGGTCTAACCTGAAGGGCTCTTGAGATCGAGCAACGATCAAAGTCGATAAAATTCAGATCCGTTTCGGGAGAGTACGGAAGGAACGATTCCGGTTTGACCGAGCATTCAAGCTCCAAATCTGTCTGCCCAACACAAGCGATACAAGAGAGCGAGAAAACATTGCGGCCCATTCCAAGTCAGGGGAGCAAACTTCGAATAGCCCCGCAAGTGAACTGTTTCCGATGTGCTCTCTTCGAAGCTCTCAGAATCGGAACGTTTTGGGTCCGAGCAGCAAATACGGAATCAAATTTCGGAATTTCTTCGCGGGCCATTCGAATGAATGACACACCAATCCGAGACGAACACATTCAAGACGAAGCGAATGGAAACAGTAGCGCGCCGAACATCCCGACGAAGAAGGCGGAATCCAACAGCGGAGTCGTCTATTCGTTCTAAAGACTCAGATAGCGCAGTTTAATCCCCTTGTGAGTAATACACGAACAGCTGGATCGGAACACAGTTTGTATCTTCCTTGGGGGCTGATGCTGATTCTGAAACATATCCTCCGTTCGAAGCTCTCCCAATCTTCGCGAACCGATGTCCCCAGGAACAGCCAAGTCCAGTATTTTCTCCTCCAGTGGAGTTATAACTAGATTTCCTCCAACGATCGTCACTGCAATCGAGAGTCCGTTCTCTCCGCGTGAACATTTTCTCTGTATCCCATCCTTGTCCCCAGCGGTCATGCATCCGTTCAAAGGGCAGTGATATACGTTTGGAAATCGGTTCCGGAAACCGTCATTCCGGTCTGAACGGGAGCAATATTCATTATCGATGACAAGGCGCGTGAAGAGCACCACTGTTTCCGTTTCCCGTCACTCGCAACCCAAAGCCAAGGGTCCTCGATCGACGCGACCCTGCGGTTCGCAGTGGAATAAAAAAAAAGTGAAATAATGATGATTGTGCTCCGTCGCTCTCAAGCATTCTCGCACACCAACTACCTGAATTTAATGCAACCGAAGCGTGCCTATTTCAATGCGTAGAGATGAGATCCTCCAGAGAGCGCGAGATACGGGACGAGCTCCTCGGCGATAAAGAATGGAGATATGCCGCTTGCATTAGCACACCGAGTTGGCCACTAATGAGGCCAGTTTTTTCTCCAAAACCGCGTACAGTCCGTGCACCAAGATCGCTCATTTGTGACCACCGTCAGACTGTACTCTGAGGTAGCTAAGCAGCTCCACGGTCAACTAAGCTTCCACGGCTCGGACTGAGTCGCAAGAATTCCTCATGAGAACTAGAGAAGCCTTCCGGGTATCTGGGGCTGACACCGAGTTCCGGTCTTACTCTTCCGACGCGACCTCATGCTGAGGTCGGACAGACTCGAGCTGGAGAAGTATCTTCTTGGTTTGCGAGATTGTCACGCTTCTGTAATCGTATTCGACTCTGCTTTTCCGCGATGACGCTCTCATTCTCCCGAGAAACGCTTTTATTTGCTGTCGGTCATCTACATGCGTGCGCATTTCTCTCTGAGGGGTCTTCGCAAGATGGTTGTGCTTCGAATCCGGATTGAGGAAGAAATCCACGCGGTCGAGGCAAGGGGGAAGAGCTCGGAACTCGGTAACCATCACCGCAACTTAGTTCCTTATCCCAAAAAAAAGAGGGCAATTATTTCCTTTCAGCGCTACGCGCTTTGTTAGGGGCAGGGTGAAAGTGCTATAACGTTGGCGAATTTCACCGGCCTCTCTGAAAAGCACGCATACACCCATGCTCTACATCGCCAATCTTGCGAGGATTCACATCGTAGCCGTGATGATAAGATGGACGACAAAAAAAACAAGTTTGTAGAAATCCGTCATTAAATTACCTCGCAGACCTCGTACTCTCCGCGTTCCACCAAAATCCCACCCAGCGGAATGCAAACTCTGAGCTTCTACAGCTGCACAAATCGGTCCCAGACTGGCGCCAAGGACCTACATACATATTATGCAGTCGCAACAACCGAATCCAAAGTAACAGAGAAAATAGATTGAATCTCTTCGACTCGGTTCCGGGACCTTTTCTAGCTGAAGTTCGAGTAACGAGGTGACTGTGGAAGTCAGGAAACGCTTTCGCCAGTTGGAGCAAAGTTTCGCTGAGGTCGACACTTTTCCTCCTTTTCCTCCGCGGCTTATCTTTGTTAACGAATCAGCTCCAGAATCAGATTCGGGAATCGACTCGCCGCAACGAGCGACCCTGCGTCGTCACTCGTCACAATGGCGCTCAGACATAACCTGCAGTTTTTTTCCCCTCTATTTCGAACAACGGAACGTTATCAAGTTTCAACGGAATGAGTCGAAGCGATCGAGGCGATTTTCTCCTCGGAGCTCAGGCCGGTTGAGAGATCCCCTCTCTCGTCGCCTTACTTGCGGGACTAGAGGTTCCGTTTCAGTCTGGGAGAGGAGTGAAGAAACATGATATCGCACTGTTGTTTTGAATCGAATCGAAGCGGTTCTCAGAAGTGAGCATTGTTTACATTTTAGAAACACTCGGGAATGTGTTGACGATAGGATTGAGTTCCAGGCCAAATTCCGACTTGGCAGAATCTAGAATGATCGTCACTCGACTTCGGAATCGAAATTGGCAGTAATATCTCATTCTGATCCGCGCGGCATGAAGTCCGGAACGGGCAGGCTCCGCGCTGCTCCTTGACTCCCCACGGTCCGTCGTGGACTCGACGATATCCATCAGGATGCGCAAGATCCCGTTAATCCGTATTTTCCTCGATTCTGGTCGCAGAGTCGGCATGAGATTTCGAATCGAACAGCAGAAGTTCGGAATTTATGGAGATGGATGTCGACTCGGCATCCCTTCCTGTGACGCACAATCACCCAAGCTTTTGCGGCGGAGCGATTCGTCGTGAGGGAAAACGTTTGAACTCACCATCAGATGCGCATGTTTCTTGGGTTTCCCGGGGAAGCGGAAGTGTTCCTCGGCGCCGTCAATCACGCCCGGCGGCTGGGGTCCGAGGTCGATTTCTTCTGCAGACTGTGACGTATGCCATTTTGTGTACGGATCCGTGTACTTCATGTAATCGACGGAATCCATCGATGAGTTCATGCTTTCTATGGTCCTTTTATCTGGAGATAACCGCGTGCATATGTTTGTGGAGCTATGATTCAAAGCCTGAAATCCGCTCGATCGTGAATCACATGACCGCCCCGCCTCGGAGGTCTTTCTTCCCGGATTGGGATAAGCTCGTTCCGAGCCGAAACCTGAATCGGAAATGGATTGCGCGCTTTCACGCGGTAACTCACGTAGCCCGGAAAGGGCATTACTTGACTTACCAACCGCAATTTTATCGTAGAGCGGGGCGAGCCGATCCGATTGGTAATGATTTGAATCCCATCGGGCACACTGAATCGATGATGAACCACAATTCACCAGGATCGCGGGTTGCGGGGGAAGTGCTTGGCTTTTCGCACGAGACGACTCGAACCGGGGGTTTGCAGTCTTTCGCGTGTTCAAACCTCGCATCCCGGAGCTCTTTCCCCCAGGAGTTCCCTTTCCCGTTTGCCTTTCCCAAAGTTCCTTTACGAGCACTCTTGAGCTCAATTTCCTCCGTTGCTAGAGGAAATTCACGGTCGGATCACATGAGTCACATGACGCGTGGGGACTTTCGAATCACCTAAAGTTCCCGAGACTCACCGATCCTGTCCAGTTCTGGAATTGGAATCTGGAATCGCGATTTATGACTCGGTAAGGTGCCGACTCGGCCGCCTCATTTTCCTGTCAACCGAGAGCTCTCATTGTCAGCTCCCGTGGCAATGATCTTTTGCTTCCATCTGATGCATCTCGACATCCACAAATATTCTCAGAATCACGGGATCGCCATTTCATCGATCGAGGGTCGCACGGCCGAACGTCGAGATAGATGAGAAGGAGAGTGGGTCTCATCGGATTCCGCATAGGTATGTGGAGGAGTTTGCCTTCCCGGGACGCGTTCTGGTCGCACATCGGGTCTTGCAATATGTCCGTGGAGATATCCCGTGCTATCCACCTACCTGGATCCCTCTCTGGGTACAGCAGGAATGTTCGGAAAGGAAACAAGGTGAACTCAATATGCTGTTCGGATGGAGCAGCTGGCGCGCGGAAAATCTAGTGGGAGCTGCCATGCCGGAGAGGCGAGTGCGCAGATGCATGAGAACTTTCCTCTTGATGTTTTTCGTGCATTCTGCGTACTCCACAGGCTCGCGCATATTCGGAGAGCTTCGAAAGAATCACCGCCTTCCAGGAAAACTCCTTTCCTCGTATGACGAAGACTGGCACAAATCCTCGATGAGAAAGACTCGCCCGATGCCCGAAGACGCACATCCCGGAGCGGGCAGTTTGTGAATTTTGTATGAATGTCTTTGTCCCGTCTCAGGGGTCAAGCTCTTATCGGAATCCATCTCGCTGAATGATGATCTGAGTCACACAGTTTCCACCCTATCTAAATTAATTCTGACGAGAAGAATTATAAGAACCTCTTCTTTTGGCTCTCTTTTGTCTCCGGTGCCCCCATAAAACACAGCGAGTCGAGCCTTGCTATTCAGAGAACAAAAATTTATCCAGCAAAAGACTCCTCCACCCTCTCCGCGAGGGTAATTACTGGGGATCATGGTGCAGCGATTTCAATAACGAATCTTTCGTTTTTCTTCCGACTCGTTATATCTCGAAGTATCCAGCCCACATATAATGATCCTCCACCGAGGGGCGCAGGGGAATCTCAATAGGAGCTCGACTATACTTGGCAGCATTCGAGAGAGCCGCCGTCCTTAGTTTCGCATGGATCGTCCCTCGAAGGCCTGGGGCGCCGAATGATAGGCTATGCGGCGAGATAGGCGATGCCACCGGCAGATACTACGAGCAGAGACAAGCTCGCAGTCCTTTCGTCAAGCTCAGCGACAGCTTCGGCTTGTTCTAGACGTCGAGAGACTCCATGCGAGCCCTCCGCAAATCGTCTGTCCGAACAGCCTCCCGATTAGGATTCATGAAGGACTCACCGTCGTACGGCGCTAAAGCGTTTCCTCAAGTTCTCTTCCCCCAAAGTGACTCTTGAACTCCGTATATCCCACGTGGCGAATTCCTCTGACGGCTTTCTGATTTGACTTAAATATTCAATTCCCGGGGAAACGAAAGGAGAGGTTTCCTTTAGAAAGCTGGCTCCCAAGCAAACGAAGTTCGTTCGATGTGAGGATTCGAATCGAGTTCCAAAATTGTTTCGACGAGTGTGTCTCGGATCGGTAGGAGGTATATATCTCTCTTCCAGAGTCGATTGGGCTAGAGCATTCTCCGAGGACAGCGCGGCAACCCATATCAAGAGTCGGAGATTGTCACTGAAGCAAAGGCTCGTGAAGATCCCCGGGAGCCAGAATTTCACAGGAGGCCGTCTCCATCGAATAAATTAGAAGCTCGAAGGTGCTCGCCCCAGGTCCACAGCTAAGTTTGCGCGAATATTCCAATGGAAATGTATTCTCTCCCAGTGCTGTAGGCGCCGGAGGAGATTGGAGAAAATCGGCTCTATGAGGTAGTTTGTTGTGTGCGATGGAATGTCGAGACGGATTGCCTTCAAGCCAGCTGAAGGCTCTCAAGGCAACTCCGACGGCACGCCTGGAGAACTGGCTACAAGGCGTGAGCCGTGTTTTTCGCCGCTCGCTCGGGTCGTCCAAACCGGAGGGAACTTCTCAGGGGTTGAAGATGGCGCTCCCGGTACACTGGGTTCTTCTCTGCTTTGAGCAAAACCTCCCCGGAGCCGGACGCGACGCCAGCAGGACATTGACCCAGAAGCCTTTTCGGAGGAGAACGCGGGTATCTGAATGACTTATACATCGTTTGGAAGTCCTTCATTACACCCGTTCTCTAAGTCTTCATCGAGCGCGCCTGCGGATGGTCGTCATCAAAGGAGTCCTTGCCAGTCGTAGTCGTTGGATGCGTACTCATTATTTCTGATGAATCGACACGGGGGCGGACCTGCGAACGACGCGACGTAGCCATCGCGAAAACCGATCCAGTCTTCGAAGAGGAGCTCCCGTGCGTTTCGACGTACTGAAATCCCGTTCGGGAGTACACTCCTGAACGATTCGATCCCTCTTTAATTGCGAATTCTATGAGAAGCCTCCCTTCCTTCACTCACCCACTCAGCGACGAGCTCATCCTGTTAGGACGAGGCAAGTACCTTTACTGGGAGGGAGGACTTGGGATTCCCAAGTTGGGAATGCTCTCTCCGCGTTGGGGACGAGAACAGCGAGGAGCAATATTGGCAGAGAGATAAGAATCAGCCCGACCGGGATCGAAAAAAAAAACGGAATTTACGGGAAATCTCGGCGGGAAATATGTGAGTTAGACATACTTATGCGTAGTGGAGACCGGGGCGTCTAGACAACGGGGGCACGTTTATACTGTGCCCATAGTCAGGGGACTGCCCATCGGGCGGACTCACGCCTCGTGGAAGGTTTGCATCATAAATGAAGTCTCAAGATTTTTCTCAGGCCTGTCCGTGAGGTTTGAACCGCATTTAATTAATTGTCTTGAGATGAGCGAAAGTCATGTGGAACGAAAGTCATCAAATGAATGTCTCACAGAAGTCGATCCCGGACTCTGCGGGCGGAGCCGTCTTGAAATTCGTCAGATCCTCGAACGCCTCCGAGGGTCTCACAAGCGTGATTCCAAACCGAGCGTACAGTGGAGTGGAGTGGACCAAGCGTCACATTGGAGTCGCCTGTGCCGGGAGGCTTCGCTTCAGACAGATCGTCTGTAATGTCTGCTCCCGTGATCCGGCCTAATGCGATTCTTCCTCACGCTTCTCTTCGGCGACGTGTCCGACTGCGTGTGATAGTGGCCTGGGGACCGCAGATCAGCGGGGCTGGAGCTCCGAGAGCAGAGCCCGAAGGTAGATCCTGACTCCGATCGAGTGGCATTCGGAGGATCGCGCTCTAATAAGCGATATCATGAATCTTCCAACGAGGCGGTCGAATCCGTGATCGAGAAGGCCAGTTTCGAGTTTCAAATAAAATCTCACAAAATGCCCCATCATCGAGGGAATGATTTTACATGAGCCCCCCTCCGATAATCGGAATCGTTGCCTGGGCTGAATCTGGGCCTCACTACCCAACAATAAGCAAATACATATGGAGGCGGTGAATTGGTGCTACCTCTCTACCGACCTCAGAACAACTCACCCGCAGGCGGCGAGAGAGTAAGTCAACTCACCGGCCTCCCGCAATCCTCATCCGAAGTCGCTTGAACTCAAGCAAGGATCAAATCCATGACGGAGATCGACAGCCGCTCAATTCCGTTAACATTCCTCGGCGGAGAGCAAAAGACAGGAGATTCCATCGAGTTTTCTACCATGCGCAATGATGGTCGGAGCGGAAGATGGATTGATTTATGCTGAAATACCCGACTGTGATTGATCCGATGAGATCATTGAGCTTGGAACAAAAACAAACGAATCCAAGGCCCCCCAACCTCGAGCAGCTCGCGGAGAATTCTGTTCTATGCAGCCGTGAGGTCGCGTCTCTCCGACGACGCTGGAGAAATATCCCTGCTCCGAGACGTTCGAAATTCCCTGAGGACAAAGGCATCCGACTTCGGGATGGTTTCCTGAGGGAGAGACCGACTTCCCGAAGCAATCCAAGATAGTTTTCTATCCTCGTTCGCGGTGATTCTTCCGGGTAGTTATTTCTAGAATTGTATCCCGAAGAGATGGCAGAAGCGAGTCACGTCGGCCTACAAGCCCATGAGAATTGCTGGAAGGACGTATCCTGGCAAGACCCTGCTACTCCTCCAACGAGAATTCTCTCCGAGAGGTGTCAACGCCGCTTATACCGCGAGACTTTGGACGGTCCGCGCACCTTGAGTCCCACAAAGGTTCGTCTCGATCGGGTTGTTCACATAAATCTTAGCCATTACTTCCCCAAACAATGGACGTAGATCGAATGCGTTTTCTGAAACGACAGGCGACCGCTCCTGTGAGTACTCTCTCCATAGATTTCTCTCTACGATAGACAAACACCGGCTATCCTGAGAGACATTCATGTTGCGGACGCAGGCAAAGATCATCAGCTTCGCCTACCTATACACAATCGTCCTTCTGGCCGTGCTCGGCGCATTCTCCTTCGAACTCTTGTTCTTTTTGGCGTTGAAGACTGTCGCGCGTACTCGAAATCGTGCCGTGGTGGTGACGGTTCCTCCTTCCAGTCGGGGCAGCTGAGAAAACGGCGGCGGCTCCGACTACATCTGAAATCCACTGAATCAGCTGATCGGGTCGAGATTTCCGTTCAGAGACTTGGAGAAACTGTTTTGGTATATTTGAATCTTTCTGTAATATTATCAATCGCAGAATGCGGCGCTGCGTCAAACTGGGGATATTGTCATCGGGGAATTTCCACGTCTGACAATGCCCCGTTGCTCCTGACCTAGGGGGGACATCGAGCCGGTGCGAGGAGCGACTCCAACCTACCGCGGAATCCGCGGTGAGAATACGGAAAATTCCTGAGGAGGACGCTGCCCATAATGTTACAACACTTGTTAAGGAGGCCCTTGTTGGGGAATAACGCGGGGATCCTCGTGCGACTCATGAAACCCGATGCGATGGAGCTTCCCCAGCGCCACTGCAGTGACGGCGGTGACAGCAAGGTAGGAGCCTGAAAATTCGGGAAGTTCAGACGGATCCTCGTGACGAGAAATAGGAGCTTAACCGGAATCTTGTTGTCAAGGGGCCAGGGAAACAAGAGGCGCTCATTCTGCTCCACAGTGAAGACGGGAAGGTTATGGGATCGGAAACGCTGAAAGACGCGGAGAACATCGCCGCGCAAACAAATATGCGGTACGTTTCTATAAGGGGGACGAGTCCCCGGATATCATACCCTCACGATCTCTCGTGCTCATTTGCAACGCGCGTGCTCAAATTAGAGTCGGAACTTATCCCTCATTATCTCTCTACAGCCTTCAGGAAATACCGAGTTCTTCGGCAGCTAGAGATTGGTACAAGCTCGTACCGCTGCGCGAAGCCTCTCAGAAGGGGAGCAAGCGTCCCGAGGTAAAATTCAGACCCCATTCCAAAGCTGCGATCGCTGTACAAATGATTTCTTCGATCGAATACTGTCACGGACAGCCAAAGCTCAGTCAAGTTCTTCTTTCCAGCTCAAGGAGGTGATCGTGAAAATCTCAATAGCCGACCATGATCTCAAAGTCAAAGCGAGACATGCTAAAAAATGGTTGGCGCAAAATCATAGTGTTCGCCTCAGCGTCAGGACCGATCCGAGGACCACCACTGCACAAGCGGTAGAGTTTGAAATTACGGAATAAGAGTTCATTCCCTCAGATTCAGTTCAGCGCCGAGAAGGAATCGAGCAGAGATCCCCGCTCATCCGGGGGCCTTAGCCGTCCTAATCCTGTTTAAACTTCTAATAATGTATGAAGAGATCGACGGAGTGGTTCAGGATGTATCCCGTGGAGGACGGCCAGAGCTCCAGAGCCTCGTCTATCCATCGTTAAATCGACTTACATAGCTTGCGAGATAGCCTCCACATGAGTGGACGAGGGAGGCGGAACCATAGCCTGAATTCCCCAAGCGCGGGTTATATTATCATTTGCGCTATACTAGTACACAGAGTTCCGATCGATATGAGGGATTGTTACTATCTTCCAGGCGGGCGTTGCGGAAGAGTTCCGGAAGTCACTCGAAGGTGTCCCGCACAAAATGGATGTACTCAAACCCAGCCCAGTAGTTGCTCATTATGTCTTCAAACCAGTAAAACAGGAGGACGCAGAGAAAACGTGAAACAAACGTTTGTGCATTTATAGTCAGACCTTAATTAAATTTCTCAATGATTGCAGCTTTCCATCGGGTGTCATTTATGGAATGCCCCTCTTCCGGGCGCGATAGACAAAGACCATGGGCAGAGGGGAACATCCCTTGAAAGCATCACAGATTCCTGAAAGCTCAGTAGAATCGCCGGAGACTCACGTGTCCCCTATAGAAATCGAGTTTCTTATCGTCAGTGAGCAGTAGCCTCGACGGATTCTTCAAATAGTTCTCGTAAACCTTGAGGCTTTCGGCGCTAAGCCGAGGCTCGTCCACTTGAAAACTGCTATTGTTCGACTCCAGAAAACAACTGGAGAAGCTATCGTTGAAGTTATCCATATTCGCATATTTCGAATACACAAGCGCGCTCCGCGGCGAGGGATCGGAGAGCTCGATTCCGTAAGTTTCTCTCATTGTGTGGAAAGCTTCTTCGAACGCAAACGATTTTTTTCGCGGCGTCGTCTCGAGCGTGGGCTCGGTGGGCACGACCTTCTGACTGATGAAGTTCTCATAATCGTCGTTGTCGGTGTCTTCTTCGTCATCTCGTTCATCATCGTCTTCTTTCTCATTCTTTAGAGTAGATGAAGTGCTGTCACCCGCTAGTGAAGGGTTCTGGGGGGCTTCGTCCTGTTGACGCCCGCGGAACCTCACCTCGAAAGGATTCGGGTCTTTGTTCCCTTCCATGCTGAGGCTGTGACAGTGGAGCTCCTCGAGGGTAAGGAGATCGTGCGGTCGGTACTGGTCTTGGAAAATGTCTACTCTTTCATCGTGCGCGGGAAGCTCGCACAAGTCCGCAATAGCTCGGTGCTTATGGGTCGTTTCCAGAGCCAGCGGCAGACTCAAAAGAACCTCCTCGTCGCACCACATCGAATAGGGTGCCCTGTGGCACGGTAGCTTGCCTGCAGGCACTGAGTTGTGGAGATAGTAGTCCGTCCCAAGGTCCCAAAGATTTTTCGCGCCGTCCTCACAGCGATAAATCCCGAGGAAGACATCCATTGCGTCTTGTTTCTCTCGGTCGGAGAAATTGTTGTTGTAGTATCTCGACAAGGTCATGTAGATATCCCTTGACTGTGATCGAATCGGAGCGATCTTCCGATAAGTCTTGACCCGATGAACTAATTGCGAGCCACCGTACTGTAGAGCGATTATATCCCCATGGTTCTCGTAGAGCTCCTCGAGTTTCTGAGCGCAGTCCGTGTCGAAATCCACCTTCGGTTCGGACACCACTCCGAGAGCGTACAGCTGATATCCCAACGCGCATCGTCCCAGCGCGAATTGCGCGGTATTCGTTCGGTCGAGGCAATCGACGCAGTTCACGCGAGTAACTCCTGTCTGGAGTCGGCGTCCATCTTTGGCGGTCAGACCTCCGATATCCAGAAGATCTTTCCTCGGGTTACACTTGGCGGTGAGGAAAATACCGTTTTTCTTTATTGTGTATTTGCTGATTTCCGCAAGTTTGGACATCACATTGCCGTCTTTCTTTTTGTTCTGCCGCGACATATCGAACGGTATGTGTTCCAATTTGAAGTCGTCAGGAAGGAACTGATTGAGGTAATTGGTGGACTGCTGAATTTCTTCTCTCAGAAGGGACTCGTGTTTTTTCTTTTCCTTCACCTTGACTAGATTCAAAATCATGACTGGCGCTCCGTATCGCTGCAGCACCTGATTGAAGTGCATTCCGGCCACTGCATAGTACGGGTCGAAGATATCGATGTTGATTTGCGGTTTCGGGACGTATTTTACCACCTCTTGGGACCAATGAGCGGGAACCGAGCCGCGCATCTGGACGTAACTCGAGAAACGTCCGTGTTCGAAAGACGATATCGAACTGTCGTGTAGTATTTGTTCGGTCTCGACCTCGTTAGCGACGTAACCTTCGAAATTGGCACCGCGTTTCTGGTATCGAGGTCCTGCGTACTTTCGGGAACGACGCGCGATGAGGGTCAAATACAGGGCTCGACCGTAGAAAGAAATGTTGGCCTGCCCCACGAAGCCGTGAGTGATGTGCAAGAGCCAATCCGAATCAGCACTTTCTCTGAGGTCTTCCAGTAGATAAGAGTTCCAGACAAACTTCTCGTTCGGCTTGACCCGGCCAGCCAAGACGTTTCCGAACTCGGGTTTCCTGAAATTACATGGATCGGGAGACCTTTCCGCGAACCGGGGTCTCGAGAGCTCGAAGTCGGGCCGTGGCTCGTCGTCTGAAGCAAAGACGTCCCAAACAGGCGTTGTTTCCGTTTCGGGGTGGAGATGCGACAAATGATACTGCAGAGTGTGCGTGAGATCGTAGCTGTAGCTGAAGTAAAAGTTCGAACGAAGATCGACGTTCTGGAACATTTTAATGTACCGAGTCTCGTCGGGATGTACCGCCGGCTTGGACGGTATATATTTCATCACAGTTTCTTCGATTTTGTAGATTGCATGCTGCCCAATGGCCGCAACCTGTTTGCGTCGGGTAATCATGATCATGTAGTACCTGAAAAGTGAGAGATTCGATATGTCGCTCAAAGGCAGGATTTCTTCTGCTCCCCTCTTCTATGCCCTTGAGAACATTTTGTCACGAGCAGCAACGTATCAGTCCAGTTGGAGAGAAGGTGAATACTTAGGGTTACACATTTACCCTTCAAGGAAGCGCACGAGGCCGACGATCCCGTATCCAGATATTTTCCCACACGAACCGTCCGGGTTGATCTTCTTCAGAAATTTGTGCACGTAGTCAGCCGAGTACCGGATCTAGGCAACGAAAAGAAGTGACCAGTGGTTCATGTTCTCCATTCTGGATGCGACGGGCTAGCCATTGAGAATATTCTCGAGGGTATCTTCTTCGAAATCCGAATTCTGGCTATTGGTGCAGTAACACCGAGCATGAGTACCGGCTTACCTTATCGTCGAGTATGAGCAGTTCGTGGTCAGAGCGGTCGAAATGCAGTATCCGAAAAGAGCTCTGAGCATTGTTAGATCCAATTAGATACAATTTATCTTTGGTTTCGTAAAGTACCATTTTCTGGATTGGTGAGATTAGGGGACTCATCGACAGCCCCCACATTTTATTCTCCTCGAAGGAGAACGCTGGAAATAGCGAGTAGGTATTAGTGTTCAATGCCTTCTCGTTCCACTGGAGCTCACGGAGCAGAAAACACCAGATCGAGATAAAACAAAGTCGCCCAACAAGCCAGAAAAATCAAGGAACAATATTCCTTCTTCTTTGGAGGGAAACTTTCGCGGTGTCCCGCTGATTGGAGTCGACACTTTGAGACGTTACGAGAAAACTCATCTCTAGGCTCACCTGTCGATTCTTTGGGAGACATGGTTTCTATACGGTCATCACGAGAAGTCGATTCACAATTCACTCCCACGGAGAACCGTCAAACTTCACACAGCTGATCCCGTTCCGATACAGGGCTGGAGGGAATGAGTGTCTCGGTTTTCGGGAGAGACCCATCAGAGAGAGTTATTTGAGGAACGGCAACCATCCAGGAGGGGAGAAATTCCTCGGCGAAAATCTCGGGATGCCGGTGAAACTTTGGGATATACAGACATGAGAGACGGAACCGCTCTTCTCGAGCTCCTAGCTCGGTGCTTCCACGGCCAGGGGACTGCGGAGCCGATTATAGCTCCCCATGTCGTAGCGTCGAAGATATTTCTTTTTCCGCAGACCCGCTCTGGTGTTCACGGCTATCCTCAGTACTTCTCCTACGTCGGCGTCGCTTCAGGAGAGCGCCTCCAATGATTCACTATTTTATGCATGGATCAGCACGTAGTCAGTCTCATTCATCCCGTGTCCACTCGTCGTTCTCCGATCGGAGACTTTCGCGCGTCACTTGATGCATACCCCATCAAGCTCAGCGCCAGCCTAGTTGCCGAATCCGCCTCAGCTTCGCCATCAGCATGAATTCCCCCATGGTGTCTTGAGTCGGCCGGACAAAACTCATCGACCATTCTTCGCGGATCTCCAAGCCCGTCAACGCCGGCTCGAGCGAGTTTGAATTTTGAGAAAACGTGGGTGGCGTGCGGATCATGACCGCGATTTTGGAGGCGGGGAAGCTGTCTAAAACGTTTTGCCATTGTTTCGCGCAAGTTTGGATCACCATGATTGGCTCGATGCTTCCCGGGAGTACCTAACATGTCTGCCCATAGGAGGATCACATACTCGACCTTCACCCGGCCGGTTCCGGAACTCTCGAGCAGAAATTCCGGACTTCCCCCGGGGGAATCGCTGGTATTGACGGTATCCCAATCTTCTCGATTTGTACCTGACTATCGCAGCGTCAGGCTGTGTATCCAGGGCGCGTTGAAGCATCCGATGATTTCTTCGCCCAGTCCGACTGCGGATTGTTCACCGGCTCAACTCAAGGCCCGTCAATATTCCCCCTCTCCATTGAACCCTGGGAGTGTAGGTATTGATGAATGTAGGTATTGAATATATGAATGAATATATTCTTGAAAAATATAATTCGACCCATGAATGAAGCCGTGAGAACGGCTCCATTCATGGGTCGATGGTCAGATTATCCTGCCAGGGCAGATTATGCCTGAATATTCTAGCAGTCAATCCGCCAATGTGAGCTACGAGTTGGTTGGGAGGACCAGGACTCGCCGCGAGCCGCGAGACACGAGCCTGTGAGGCGAATTCGCTTTCAGGGCCCACTTCAGTCTCGAATTCTGTAGGAGGATCGCGTCGTCTCCCGATCTTGAAGGCTTTCGCAGTCTTCCGCGTTGACGATTTCCAACCTCGGCTATGTTTTTCCGCGAAAAATTTGCATCCTGAGCTATCAGAGATGGGTAGAGATAGAAGATTATCGATGGATACTTCCCGAAGAACTCCACGCGTTTCTCGGCGGAGCTCATGGCGCGGGAGTTGGTTCGCGGGTCCCAGACATGGATCGCAGGAATCGCGCGGGAACTTTTCCGGGAGCGATTCCGGACATCGTTGAGCTGAACTGCCTCAGAATCTCGCTTTGTCGGTCCAACGTCGGGCGAACAGAAGCTCGAAACGATGCCGACGGTAGTCGGTCGCGAGTGAGACTTCGTGAGTCTTCCGTTAGGACGGGCGTGTTGTACGCGGAACTCATGAGACTCGAGGAGAGGAATCGGCATCGTTGCGAATAATGTGTAGCCTGAAATTCGAGATCGTGAATATAGACTCCTCGTGACCTGCTAGCAGACCTTTCCTTCGACTCTCGAGGCAGCGAGGAGAATACCGCGCCGAACTCGTTCTAGTCACTCAGACGCTTAGACCCACACCATGAAAGTGAAAATGCGCGGGTGTGGTCGAGCGGTCTGGAGCTCTTTGAACCTTCAGATCGTTTCATTGAATACTTTTTTTCTCTTCACTCGTTTTTGAAATTTGAACCACGTCGTTCGGGACGCCATCAGCCCCCACCATTTTATCTCTCCGCTCATAGAATGGAATTGAGGGTTATCTAATCATCTTCGGTCCAGCACCGCGCCCACGGAGACACTGCTGCCTCGAGCGAGCGTCTTGCTTTCGTTCCTCTCCTCGGTCTTCCCTTACGTCGCGTCGTTGGCCGGATCGTCCGACACGAGCAAGACAGCTACGCTTAAGAGGCGCGAAACACTTCAACGTTATCCAATGGAAGCCTCGATTGAAAAAAATACAACCCGAGCTTATCCAGTTCATCATCTCTGTCACCGCCGATCGAAACAGAATGATTGTACGCAATTTTCAGCCCTAATGAACTCGTTATCACAGCGTTGGACTTCATGCCAACCCAAATGACAGAAACTCATAAGGGAGGGGAAGACGCTGCAGAGAAGCTCCAACTCCTCATAGGCGATCGATGCGGGATGTGAGGAAAGATCGGATGAGATACTGAATACATGAGCAATAAACAAAAGAACCGAATGAAAACTCAGGAATGGAAAACAATATTATGAGATGATAATATCTCGAGCCGCTCAACCCCACCGAGCTCTTGCTCGAATTCTTCTGACTGAGAGGTCCGAAGCGGAATTCCAGAATAACCGACTGCCCTCGAGTAATCGACCCGATTGTTTCGGGAGAGATGATCGTCATATGCCTCGACCATCGAGGCAGGCTCCAAGATACGGGGCTCGAACGCTCAATCAAGAATCACGAGTTCTCCCCGGTGTATGTATATGGGTGCATGTATTCGATGGGAATGCCTTTCATTCGTCAGTCCTCGGGAGAGCGAAGAGGCACCATCCTCTTCTTTCATCCGTCGAACGCAAATCCGGAACGAGGGAATTCGTCCTTCCGCATCTGATACGATCCACTTTGGCTCGACCAACATGGAACTCCCGCTCACAGAACGTTGAAGGCGGTGTCCAGCGGAAGCTATCATCGATCGAAAATGAAAGCTACACGGGCTCGCCCTGTCAACAAACGGAAGTTTCCTTCTTTACTTTTCCGAAAAGACTCCATGAACACAGATCCAATACTGAGAAGCTTGCCTGCTTGAAGTGTTTGCTTATATTTTTACTTATTTCTTTATTGATGCCTCGAAGATTTCAGTTTCGAGATATTCGAGCGGAACGGATTTCGGGGAAGCTGAGGCTCGAGCCGCTTTCCTTACAAGTGCGTGCTTCAACTTCTGTCGACGACTCTTCAGCGCGTGTTGTCATTGAGGTTCTTTGTTTGCGTAGAAGTTCCTGCCGTAGCCCCATAAACACTCGATAGTTTACGAGCGTGTTGCGCCTGCCGCCACAAAATGCGGAGAGTCGAACCGCGTCTGAAACATAACAAAATAAAAGTTAAACACGCGAGCGCGGTAAAAGTGAGCGCTCGATGACAACCTTCCGCGGAGACCAGGTAGTCGATGACGCCACCTGCGGCAGCTGGACGACTCATGTAGAACATTGTAAAATCAGAGGCGCTTATCGATGGTCAACGACCTCAGGTTGTTTCCTCGCAGCCCAAACACTTTTGCTGATCGTCGCTATCACCGTAACAGGTTTCCATCTACTCGAACTCAGTTGTTACAAGCTCTAATCTTCGAATAATTCTCCTTGCCTTCGATGTCGATTAGCGGAGGTCTCAACACCGCGATAAAAGCACATGAGTTGAGTGAAAGCAGAAATCGACGACCGAAACCACCGCTGAATTGATAATAGCTAGAGCCCGCTAATCGAAAACCCCGAGAATCGTACGCTGATAACGCTCGAATCGACGTTTGTGAATCGATCATGATGCTGAGAATTAAAGCTCGACATATAATAGGAGACTGTTGTGGAGTCAGCGCTTGGGATGAGGGGAGTTCCCCGACGCGCCGGTTTTCTGGTTTCTTCCTCTCGATATAAAAAAGAATGCTCCTGCGCACGGCGCGGCGGCTCAACGAAGTAGTGGAACGAAACTCGATCTCGACCTGCGCTCATAATGGGAATTATTTCCAGAAACAGGTTTATCGATGATACACGCTTGTTCCGTCAACAGGATGTTTTCAATGCAAATAGGAACTGCTCTATAATTAAGCGGAGCAGCGTCTAATACGAGTTGATTCATCCCTTCGGTCATTGCTTCGAACACGGCCCTTTTTCCGTTCACAGGTTTTACGATATGTAGCCGCCGCGCCGATAGCTCCGACTTGTGACCACAATTAATTACTGCTGAAGTGGAACGAGCTGGCTTGTCCGAAAGCACACCGACCGGTCATGAGCTCGGCAGACTGTTCATTTAGGAATTGGATATGTCCGAAGCATGCTCTGCGAGTCGTCTTTTCTCCACAATTTCAACCATTTCATATATTCCTGCGGCAGTGTCATACGCATAGCTTCGGGAGTACTCTCCGTGAAGTGAAAAATCCTAATCTCCGTCTCTTTCTTGTAGGACTTCAGGTGAGACTCCGAACTCGGTCCGAGAGTCGGATACATTCATCGCGGAGACGGAGCTTCACCAGGCGGATTGACCTTTTCTTGCCTCCCGGGGTGATTTTCCTGAAAAATGGTTGCGGAGAGTTGACGCTCGGCGGCTGCCAGAAGAAACTGCCTCCTTCGTCGACTCTCGTTCTGCTTTCTAGCGGATTATAACGTCGCTTCCACTTGACGACTGGAAAGCGGCAACATTCGGCCCGTGCCCTCCTGTAATTAGTCTTCTGTCTCAGCGTATAGGACCACGTCGGGCGATCTAAAACGATGCTAGCTCACGAATGAGCAACTCTGACGCGCTGCAGGTTCGCAATGCTGCGATCCTAGATGTTTTCTAGGGTCTCTTCCGAAGACGCATCAACAGAGGCCTTAAACCGGGCGGGTTCTCTCTCCATTTCTTCCTGAAAAAACAATCTCCGTTCTGTTTAATTTCCCGATCACCATGTACTACATATTTTCGATGCCCGTATAAGATTGGAAGTCGCAAGGAGCATTGCATCTTTGAGCCCTTCCCCCTCGGGATGAGCTTCTTATTCGACCGATGATGACTGCTTGTCGCACCCTCATCGATCATAACCATTGAGCAGGTCAAAAACAATGGAGCGGTTTCATAAGGCTCGACACTCACTCATTGGAACTGGTTGATTCTGAACGGTCGAGCCCAATGTGTATCCGTCAACTAGTTCTGGAACCGAGAGGATGATGGGAAAGGATCGAAAGATCAATCGCGGGATCAGGCGTTCTTTCGGTATCCAACGCGAGATATTTTCAATATCCGCCAGCAGAAGCGGTTTATTCAGAATCTCCGCTATGGGTGCGCCGCGAGCCTTATTTATCACAATCGAAGGCAATCCTGATCCGTGCTTTATCGGCCCTTATTTATTGAACGGATCCCGATCTGATCGTCTCTCCTTGCGAAGAATTATATCGTAAGCTTCGTAATGAGCGCGTCCCCGTTCCCAGGCCAATCATGGGGAGCTGGGACACCCCACCATATATGTAGATCGGATGAGGAATTTTCCAGGGGGCGGGTCGACCTTGTATTGCAACGACCGATCGTTATTATGGCCTCCACGTTTCGATCTCGCGAATCTCGGAAATCGATATCTCTAAATTTTCAGAGATGCTCCCAGAATGGGCGACCATCGGATCACAGATTTTGCGAAGAAAATATTTATCCCGATCTCAGGAATGAATACTCGTTTGATCGATTGTCGCAGACCACCGCGTAAACAGAAGTAAAGAGATCCTCGAGTTTTTTTACTCGGCAATGCTATCCAAAACAAACCAGCTTTCATTCGATAGTTCGTTGATTGAGAAGTCCTTCCATGGATCTGTAATCAGAAGCGCCACTCCCTGTTAGACTGGATGTGTGCCCTGGCACCCATGGTATTTGGCAGATTGCTCGGAACTCTCAGAGATCAATGAAAGAGCTGACGAGGTTGATTTGGACGACTCGATAGGCTTTCGGCTACTCGGACACCTCCGCTATCAAGTGGGTCGGTCTGACATTTTCGCTGGTCTTCATGAGACGGGAGGCTGGAGGAAAATCTCCGCCAAGATATGAAGAAAGTAGCCCACTGCGCGGCTTAAGCGCTCCAGGATTCTCTTGGAATCCCATTCGAATGACTGGAAACCCCTTTTAATGTTGTTTCAGCGGCGTTATCTGTTCACGCCAGGTGGAAGTCTTGAGCTCTTAATAAGTGGTCGCAAAGTTCATTTCTACAAGGAAGATTGAACGAGTTCCTCCGCCGCTGCCGTTCCTGTTGATTTCTCTTTCCTCTCTTTCGGAGTGATGACTGCCGCGGGGATGGAGAGGAAGAGAAAAGGTCATTTCGACTCTCAACGACGGGTTTTCGAGCGGCAGTTAGCCGGACATCTCAGTCGTTCGAATTGTCTTAGACCTCCGGTAGAACCGAAAGGAAGGCTGACGGGGAAGAAGAAATAATAACAAGATGACGCAGCAGGACGAGAGAGAAAAACTATTATTCCGGTGCCTTCAGAAGTCACGAATCATGATTCTGTCTTTACAGACAGAAATTGGTTTTACAAAATGTTTCGTCGACTGGAGCTGTCAGCGAGAAGCGCTGCGGACCACACAGACGATCCGACGAGGAAGATAACTAAGCCCGAAAAAGAAGAAGTCGATGTTTTGACTTGATAACCGACTCACAGAAAGCCTGGCTGAGCACGAAGGAACACGAGCCGTGATCAAACTGAGGCAAAGGAATGGAGAATGGGAATTCGAGTTTCCTCGAATCGCACACAGTCCAAGAAAGAATAGCCTCCGAGCGGGAGACGTACCGGTGGTGGTTTGTGGCATCGAATCGAGGAGCTATGCCGTTGAAAGAAGACACGCGCAGGTCGTCTTATAGCCGTGAGACTGGGATTCCCCAGTTTCCGTTCGTTTTATTGACTCAATACCGTTCATTTCCGCATGAACTCCCTACCTATTCGCGGACTCATCCCCCTCATGGTACTCGCGAGGCAGAGGGGGAAACGGATTTCAAAATCTAGAAATATTTGTCGAGATCAACTCGAGAGATCACAGTTGGAAGCATCACTGCGCATGCGCAGATGTTGACTATGTACATCACCTTTTTACAGATATATCAACTCGTGAGATATCTATTCACTTGCAGCTTCGCTGTCTCTACGGAATGTTCATTGGCTCTTTGTACAGTTCATCCTCTTCTATCTATTCACAACTAGACGTACAAGCTCGACTGCCGGTCGCTGTCGAGCGTGAAATACTTGGCTGAATCCGATTCGCTCGCCGACGACATCGACGATCTGAGCGTCTGATAGATATGGTTTGAGGTGTCAACCCGGACCGTATCTCGAGGTAAGCTCACCATGTACGACGGCATGCCCCTCGGCGTGAGACCGGCGTAGCCGACACTCGACGTCGGCATGCTCTGGATGATGGTGGGCTGCAGGACGTACGGGTACTTATTGTCCTGATACTGAGCATACACCGAAGTGCCGCTTTCCATCTGCTTCAGCGTTTTCACGGGGTCTCGCTGTGGTGTAGATCGGCGACCGTACCACATCATCAAACCTCCCACCACCATGAGCACAGCACCGAAGAGAGACAGTGCTCCAACGAGAAGACCTCGTTTTGCGTCACCTCCGCAGTCGAGGTCGCTTTCGTCGAGATTCCGCAACAGCTCGCCCTGGAGTCGACTTGGACCAGCGCAGCGAACCATCGAGCTGTTGTGGTAGAAGACGTCTTGCTGCAGATGCTGCCACAACCAGAGTAGATCACAGTTGCATTCCAAGGGATTCTTCGTTACGTCGAACGATTCGAGCATTTCGACTGGCAGAAGATGCGGATCTAAGTGACGAATGCCATTGCCCTTGAGGCTGATGTGCCTCAGCATCGGCAGTCCACCGAACAAGTTCATCGGTAGCTTCTCGAGCTGCATATTGAACTCCATGATAACTTCCTCTAGCTCGAGGTTTGCTGCGAAAGCGTCTTCGTCGATCCTGCTGAACATTTCCGAATAGCTCAGAACGAATTTCTTCAGTCGGTACGAAGTTCTCAAGTCCTTGGTGCTCAGCCGAGTAATCAAATTGCCTCCGATGTTGAGCTCTTGGAGCATTTCGAGGGAGTTTATAGCCTTGGGGAAACTCTGCACGTTGTTGTACTGGAGATTGAGGGACTTGACTTGCTTGAGTCCGGTGAATGCAGCCGGGTCGATCTGAGCGATACCGCATTTATCGAGCTCGAGTTCTTCGAGAGAGCTCAAGTGATAGAAAGCAGATTCGTCCACCATCGACAGGGCGTTCGAGCCGAGATCCAAACTCTTCAGGTGGCCGAGGTAAATGAACGATTCGGTTGGAACTGCGCGGAAATGATTCGCTCGGAGAACGATCTTCTTGATGTTCTCGAGTCCCGTGAAAGCCGCGGGATTTATGGCCGAGATGTGATTGTTGGACAAGTCGAGGACCTCGAGGCTCTTCAACTCGCTGAAGACATTCGGACGAAGTTCCGTCAGGAGGTTCTTCTTCAGAATCAGTGTCCGTAGACTCTATGGAAGAGAAGGAACGCTTTTTTAGATCATTTGCTCTTCTGACTCCATTTAGACCCGTCTGCGGGCTTTTTACGGAATCGTCCCGTCATCTGGGACTCGGCGGACGGAATTGATGCCTACCCCTGCTCCACGGAAAGTCTTGACGCTTAGCTCCTTGATGAAGTTGAAGCTCAAGTCGACTTCGCGAAGACCCTGAAGAGCGAAACTGTCTTCGCCGAGCTCCGAAATTCGGTTCACGCTGAGGTCGACCACTTCGAGATCAGAATAAACCCCGATTGCAGAGTGTATGATCGCGATGTTGTTTTTCGAAAGGCGGATTTCCTTCAGCATCGGATGCAGGGTAGCGGGGAAAACGTCCAGAGATGCGTCCTGGCAGTTGACCGTGAGCTCGGCATCGTTGCACCGACATCGACGAGGGCAGAACGAGGACCATCTCGCAGAAGCCACGCCAGCGAGCAATATCAAGATTAATGAGGGATTCCTGAAGGAGAAAGAGTAAGCGTTGTAGAAACCGTTCTCAGGTACTGATCGTGATGATAAAAGAAATACTCGCTACGAAATAATAACAATAATTGTCCCTCCGGCAATGGTCAACCGGTCATGAGACTCCCTTCGCCAGCCGGAGAAAAACCGTCTAGCCAGTTACCCCCCCTTAATAACGGGGTAGCTACCGAAAATTTCTGAGGCCTCGGTCGTCTGACCGCGCCGATATTCGACCTGCTCTCTGACGGATGGCCTACTACTGCAAGATGAGCTACCTAATTCCTTTCTCCGCGGCTCCGGGACTACCGTGAACTTTCCCCAAATTATGCCGACGAGTTCCCGAAAATATAATGAACGCTTTCTCTCTACGATTCCCCTCAATCTCCGGTCGAATGACGATGTGTCAGTCGGGAGACCCGAGGGAGCGCTGGCAGTGCTCTATGATCGGATCTATCACTCGAGACTGGGGACCTACATTTTGGTATGGAACAAGGGTCCTCCGATTCACTTGACGTAATCCTTTGTGGTAGCTAATACGCTTATCCTTAGAGTTCACTATCGAACAAAGCACATCTTATCCGATCCGGAACGGTCGAAGCGCCCAATAATGAGACACATGCGCACACACGACAGTCGCTGTCAAACTGAGATCTGAGGGCCTCCAAGGCGGCGAGCAGCTTTTATGGCTCAGCCTCCTTTCCCACAAGAGGTAGGCGAGGAGAAATCCAACGAGCCGCTGCTGCTGTTGAATTCAAACTGAGGAACCGTGATGAGCGAGCCCGCCAACCAGCAAGTTGCTGGCGAGTCAGACCGGCGACGGAGCCGTAATGACTTGTTTGAAACCCCAGGACTCGAAAAGGCGGCACCTTCAGCGAAATCTCGTCTTCAAACGAAACGAATTCGCCCCAACCTTCCGGCGGCCGATCTGTCATTGGCGCTCATGAGGACTTCTGAAAATTCGATTCTAGTTGAGTCGGACTTCCTGTCGTACGATGCGCTCCGAGACCCGCTTGGGTTCCTCTATAGCGAACCCTTCCGCGCATGTTTAGAAAATTTCGAGATATATATATTGGAGATCCCGACGATGCTCAATCCGACACGACGGATCTCGAAATTCACGGAGACGCGGCACTCACTACCTCATAGCACACCTGATGCCTCTTCATAGAGAGATGTCATCATCGTCGAGCTCATTACTTGAAGTCAAAATCGCTCATTACCCGAACCCATAGCGTTCCGGCGTCGATCTCCGCTTATGCTCTGGGCCCGTGGGATTGCAGAGCCCCACATTACTTGGTGACTTCAGACGTTTACGTTCGACTCCTCGGCCAGGAACCAACAACAGCTGTTGCTGTCCACCCTGGGAACATGTGTTGGACGGAGGCGGATATTCTGGGTGGTATAGCACTCGTGCTGGCCGGCGGTAAAATTTACGGAACAACCTCTCGTTCGGTAGGCAGTACGTCGCATCTTCTGCGCTGGATTAGGCGGTAATCAACGGTGAATTAGACGAGCACGAACGCAGAAACAAATAGCCAGTAGGCAGGCGTGTGGGCGAACGGCGCGCGCACGCCCGGGCTCGACCTCCGGTGCGTAGATCGCGAGAGTACGTGGCTCGATGCGGCTAACTAAGTATGCGCGCATGCGGCTCGCGGATTTGGGGAACACACACTATGCGCGCTTGTTAGCATTCGAATCAGAGCGTGGGATCTGCGGAGAGTCATCAACGGAAAGAAAAACTAATCATTAAAGGATGCTTGGGCTCCAGGCTCCGACAAACTAATTAGGATTTCATATGAGTGCATATGTAAACAGCCAGTGCACGGACGAACGCGAAAAGGTACAACATCCGGTACCAGGCCAGATATCAGAGCCAATGACGACTTGACGCGAGAATCCTCACATTCCTTTAAGACGAACAACCGCTTCTAGCCGAGAATCGCTAACGAGCCCATCGTCGAGATGAGTTCTACTCGTCCCGGGAAGGGGGCGGCCGATCTGATCGATTTGAGGTTTGCAAGACAGTCGTAAGGAATAATTACAATATCAACTCGAAGGGAATCCTCACCAATTGGACGAGATCCTCTACGGAACGGGTCGAAGCGAGACCGAGCGTGATAACGGCTCCCGAATACAGGACCGGAGCCGACTGCGGACCTGGAGAAATTGTTTCTCAAGCTCGCTTGTGGGCGTTTCGCTCACCCAGGTCGACGACGTCAGCGTCAAAACTCGTAGCGAAAACAACGTCACGACCTCCAAGAGACAACTTCATCTAAGGCGACCGACTCCCTAGCGATTCGTTGACGCGGCCTGGTCACCGCTGATACGCCACCGAAAAGTGCATGGTATCGAAAAAAGATGCCTCAATGCGGCTCCCGGCACTCGGCATTTGATGAGCTCGGAGCGAGCTCTTCCTTTTTTTTTCTTTTTCGTTTTTATTGTGAACTGTCGGTCCCTTCATCAGTGGACCACCTCGAAGAGTGTTTTTCGCTTCGACCGCCCGCCCGCCGGCCAGCCTCGCCGTCCGTCCGTTCGGCCGAACGTTCCCGGCTTACTGTGTATGTAAGTGAAATAGATCTACTGTTCGAGTGTCGCCCCTAGACGACTCAGTGACCGAGTCACTCGGAACGATGAGCCAGCGGTACAATGCAGAGGATGTTTTCGGAGGAACGAGACCATCGAATTTGCGGTTGGGATTAAGGAGATTATCGTGTGCGAGAGCAGCAAAATAAACCTCGAGAAATGGACCCACACAGCTCTCGACAGTCGTGCCGAGAGAAGCTCTCGATCACCGTGCTCCCGGGCTATCCTTCGGTTGACTGGATAATTTTTGCTGACATATATATTTATGGCGTTCCCATCGAAAGCGACTCATAAAAGCGACCCGGCGATGAAACCGCCTGGCGTCGAGAGGTCGGCGTGCTCGATTCTCCACGGACCTTCGAAGCCCTCGAGAATGAAGAGTGAAGGATCACGTATGGGTAGGTCTCTCGCTGTTTATGGCAGTGGCTCTACGATTCGAATAGCAATGCGATTCGACTCGGCTTGGAAAACACTCCTTCTAGTCCAGTGGCTCGGAAGAATAGCGGAGCTAATCAATGAGTGAGTTGACGAGTGGTCGCGGCGGACGATCAATCCACGGTTTGCTACACCGTGTTGCCGATTCCGATCCCCGATGAGAGCGGAGGAGAAAGAGACAGAGAACCTAGGCGGATAGGTTGATGAATCTGCAGACGAATGAAGTTATCACGGAGCACGACATGCTCGACATATGTTCCGCGGCGGAGTGAAACCGACCGAACGAACGAACGGACGAACAACCGAGTGAATGTACGACCGAGAGTCGATGACAATACAAGACATCGGATAGGCCCCAACTGCCACCGCGTGAGGCAGGACGATGCCGACAAGAAACCAAAAGAGAGGGAATCCTAGAAACACATTTGCACATCGCATCGATGTGACTCATGCAGGGTTCAATGGGTGTCTGTTCAATCGCCACTCCGCTGTCCGAGTCTTTCCCTTTAATAATTTGTGCTGCAAGCGGGAAATTGCCGCCCGCTTCTGACCATCTCGGACGCGGGTGAAATGGTCAAATGAGACGGAACATGCGCGTATAATAATGGAACTTTCCCCGAATCCGCTCCGGACGAGCGTGATGGACGGAGACGCCATCGTCGACGACTCGACGATCGATCGCTCTTCCTATCATGTACAAATGGCAACTCGAGGAATGCCGCTGTTTTGTTTCGTATGTCGTATTACGGCGGAGGGTTTCGCTGTCGAGGAGCGCTCCGACCGGACGCTCATCATGAGTGGTCGAAAAATTGTTTCACGGGAATTTTTGTTGACTCATAACAGAATAACACCGCATCATCCGAGGAACCACCGGTCCGAACAGTCAGTCGGAACGGAAAAACAAAACGACTGCTGAAGTTGTTCCATTGTCTTCCGCCTGAAAGTGCGTCTCTCTCATCGACCGAAGGCGTGCTCTGAGGCTTCCAACTGGAACATAATAGCGGCTCAGAGAAGACAATGTGCTCGTTCTTATCTCACGATTCCATCGGACATGTTTATGGACACCGAGCTCGAAAGTGGTCAGAAGCCCCGCTCGCCGACGAGCAGATGCTCAATTGAAAACTTCCAAGCGGAGCAATTAGCAGAGCTCATTACATAAAACACCGAGGCTCGCGTCGGCGGACTCCTTCTGCTCCGCTGTAGACTCATCCGCACTTTACTGATCAACTCAGTGTCTTGTGACTCCCAAGCACATCTGAAGAGGCGGTGGGAGAAGCACGAGGTTCGAGGGGATCCGACGCACTTGATGTTGAAGTCGTTTTCCTCGAAATAGAACTCCGCTCAGGTGGAGCTCCATCAGTCAAGCGCGGTGACCGAATTTAATTCTAGCTGCAGGCTCGACTCGAGCAACCCTTCTTCATGAAGTCGACGAGTAGTATGTCTGCACCTGATTCAAGATTTCTTTTGTTGTTCCGTGAAAGCCTTTAATTACAGCGAAAAAATGGCCGACGGATTCGCGGAACATGGTGACGTCGCCGCACCCAGTCACCACCACAAGCTCACGACATGTTATTATTTGCGACAAAACTTTTCTATCCGTTTGTTGCTGCTGTTGTTGTTGTTGTTATCGTTGTTGCTGCTGTGGCTGTTCTCTCGGGGTCGTTACTGGAGTTGTTGGAGTCGTTGTTGCCGGTGATCATCTCTCTGTGACGAAGTCGTGACCGCTACTGGCATTCCTCAAACTTGACCTTTACTCTTCTCCTTGTGAAAATCTACGAGTTCAAAACCTTGCTCAAGGTCTTGCCCTGAACTCCGGTCCAATTCGGAGCGTTCATACGGGCGTAGGGTTAAGTAACCGTTCCAAGAAACCCATTTTGGCATTCCATTCGACGAGACTATGCAGAAAACGCTTCTGTGGATGCATTCCCGAAGCTGTCGCGGGTTGCACACGAGCCTCAAAACTCGAGCTAGAGCTCAAGC